CTGCTCTGTTTATGCTACAACCAATCAGAACTGAAATATAATTCCGTTTGTGGATCGAACACTGATGTTTTCTCCCACGCTACACACACTCCAATCCTAGCCATCTGTACTGTTTGCCGTATAAGCTGTTCTTGAGCCTCATATTTCACTTTTTACGCGTGTTAACTGCAAAGCGAGGATAGAGGTTGTGAACAGCTAAGCGAGTTTATCGATCCATCGTGGGCACGTGCGCGCTTCAGTGGAACGGGAAAGCCACATGGATCCGGGAGGTCGCCCCACACACTGTGAGCTGATCGATCAGCCGACCAATGAGCGCTCTTCTCCCGATCTCGCTCACCTTGACCTGAAAGGTTCACTGGGTGCATTCAATTAGTGGACCCACTCCACGGGGACACCAAGAATGTTGGAGGCTCTATCTGTCTGGACAGCTTTTATGGAAGACCTTCGGGTACATAAAGCTTAATTTGACTTATTTTGACTTGAAAGATCAGTGGCAGGCATTACGCTAACCGAAAGTTATGACTCAGCCAACAGGGTCACTTGTTTCTTAATTGCATTTCTCCGAATCGGAATTCCTCCGTTGTTTTCCTGGTTTTGAGCGATCAACAACTTAATTATCGAATGTTTTGGGCACCTTACGTCAATTTTCGTCCTGAATGTACTATGCTTATCTTCGTGCCCGCTTGTCCGGTCTCTATGCTCGATATGGTTCTCGTGTTTGTCTTTAATCCATCCTGCTTTCCGTTAAGGTTACACTTGTTTTCGCTACCACATCCCATATGATGGACAATCACTGACAGCAAACAAAACTAGCACAGGAAAGTACAAGCTTACTGGTTATTCAGACTGTAACTGAACAATGATGTTATTTTTCTTTTATCCATTATTTATTCGCAAAGATTATTGCATTCTAGGCTATTCCCTTTCATTGTTACTTGATGAACGAATAAACTAAGTTTAGTCGGTGAACGCCTGGACTAACCCATTTGGTTTTACCCAGGTACTGTTGATGAACATCATCAACAGTGCCTGTGAAGAACCGAATGGGCTAATTCCAAACATTCACTACCTATACTGTTGATGATCTTGAGAGAATAAACGTCAGATGTTCATGAATATCAGAAAGATGAAAAATCTCCCGGGTTCGATGAAATTGTCGACCATGCAGCAATCGCATGATTTACTCTCTTTCTCACTGTTGTGTGATGCAACTGCAGATGAAATCATTCTGTAGTTTAAACTGCAGTCCATGACTGTTGAGGGAGCCTTTAATCACATGTTCTTTCCGACTTGGACACTCGTTCACTGGCTCACGTCACCGGGCCTTCGCACCCGTGTCCTGAACACGTTCAAAAAGATCCGGGTCAAGTCGATGTGTTTCGGTTTAACATTAGTGCGATTGTCGGCATTCCAAGGGATTATTTGTAATCGTACATAGGAATCAGTCTATCCTGACATGCGGCATATCTGCTGGTTTAAACGTTGAACGTGGCATGAAATATATCATCGTCGTCCATAAAATGAAAAGCGCGTGGTGAATTTCGTCGTGTACAGAGCTAATGAGACGTGAACCGAAAATCTAGGAAACACTGTACAAGAGGCTAGGGCTGAAATGCACAAGTTCGCAAAGATAGGTTGTGCAATATCGTGTATATTCAAAATGAAAAACGGTCAGACTAGCTGCCCAGGTGTGGAGTGGGTAGCGTGCTTCTGCCCTACCAGTGAGGTCCCGAGTCGGGTCTATGTAGTGGCACTGCTGTTGAGGCCCACGGTATAGACGTTCAACAATCGAAGTTCTGGTAAAAGCATCTGACAATGTGATCATTGCCTTCGGATACGTTATCTTACTATATTCAGCCAGCTTTCAACAAATGTTGAAATTCAGTCCCAACCGTGTGTTTCACCCATTTGGGCTTTATCAACACATGGAAATTGATCTTCCCATTTGTGGATTGTTTATTTTCCCCCAGTCTGTCATTCTCTGTCTGCCTTATCTTGACACATTCCAAGGCCTTTTTGGTGGTCTTTCCATAAGGTTTGATATATTCTGCGTTGTCACTTACCTTCAAAAGGCCGGGGTCTCAATTAGGAGTCTCTGCTTCTCACAGCATGTGCAGGTTGTTGTCCTCTCCACAACCTCCTGTATATCTTCACCACCACTCCCAGCTTCCGCATTCCTGCAGGCTGGATGTTTGTGTACGTTTGACCTCCTTATCT